AAAACCACTGTTGTACCTTTGAGGTACATTTACATTGATTGTATCTTGATGAATGAAAAATGTACCTGCACCAAATATTGGCATTACAGATCTTTGCCATGAGCATTTCTAGTGCTGCCTGTCAAGTGGTGGTGAAGTTCCGTCTACTAGCGTTTTTAACTGCTTTGTGGTATTGGTCATAGGTATCAGAATGCCCATCGGCAATAACAATACTGCGTTTAAGTGTCGGTATCAGTGCAACCCTATGCTCAGGCATCAGGCAGCATATTAATCAGCGTTTCCCGTGAAAATGTTCTGTTACAGAGCTTTTAGAGACAAAGGCTTTGGATGCCTGGTTCCTATCACCACCAGTGTGAATAATTCTGACTAAGTTTTTCTAAAACTGAACATTCGAATCAAACCACTCTGAAAGACTCTGTTTATAACTTAATGACTGAATTATGCCTTTTGAAAAATCAGTGGAATTCCCCTTTAACTGACCCATTCCATTACTCACCCAGCTTCACTCTCTAAGAACTACAGTCACAGCAGACCTGGCTAGAAGGCATTATAGCCACCAATGTTATAACTCTAATATCAATGTCTTGTTGACAATTCAGCACCAGCCAAAGCTAAAGCCTAGGGAACAGTCCTGTGATAACCAACGCAATACTGACAGTATAATGAACTCGACAAGTTGTTTTCTATACAAAGAAAGATGGAAAGGACATAATATTGTCTAGTTGACAAAAACCTCTGAAAACTGAGTCAACGTGGCAGCCTGCCCCTGCAGGATTTTTCTGCATGCTCCCTGCTCTGCCTGGCCACAGACGCAGCACAATAATTATACGCCCTGTGTTAGACTACCACTGTCCCGCTGCCAGCAGATTAAGCAACTCTTATAAAAACCAAAGGCAACGTGCAATGAAAAATAAGCATTGTACCCCTTAAACACACTCACACAGCCTCTCCAGATGGCAGGACTGGTTAAGCTGCAAGTGGGGCAGCATGTCCATTCAGAAACATACACAACGATGCTTCACCATGCTGAAAAATTAATTCAGAGTAAGGATGTATGATATGGTAGAAACACAGCATCGCAGTACGCAAAAGACATTTTCACAACACACAATTTGTATCACGATACTTAAGTTTATCTGAGGTTTGCAAACAGCTTAGAACGGACAAAACATCAGCAAAACACCTGTTCAAATTGGATATGGAAAACTAAGCAAAACAGCCAACAGCAAAACCAAACTTTTTAAGAAGGATCAGGAGAAAAAAACAATACATTTATATAATAACCTAAAAGCATAATGGCCTGGCATCCAATCAGTGACTTGTTACTATGCAGTTATTACATGCAAGTTGTTTACAGATTGTCTATAATTGGTTTAATCATTTTTTTATGATTTATGATGTATTTATGATGCAATTGTTCAGCATTCTACACTCAATAGTATCAAAAATGATTTTTTCGACTTGTAACAAGAGCAGAACACTTTTTGGTGCTATATAGAACCATTTTAAAAGGTTCTTTATAGAACCATTAAGAACAATTTTTACATTATAGTAAAGAATTGCTTAACAATACAAAGAACCATTTATCTAGTCAAACGGCCTGCGCTAAAGAACCCCTGATGTGTGATGGAAGTACTGACCATACATATGACATTCACAGAAAAGCGTATGACGGAATTAGTCATGATAACTAGATACAATAACGCCACTTTTCCTTTTCCGATACATATTCCAAACCTTGAGCGTCAGCTGATGCTAAGACTGGGCCGATACTTTCCTTTAAAGACTGCTTCGCTTTACAAGCTATGTTTAATTTAAACACTTCCCTTTAGCTGATCATCTTAAAGTAGACTAACATGCTCAACTAATCAAACACTAAAACCAAACAGGAAGATCTACACAGGTAAGATCATTACATCACACAGTGTGAATGTGCACTATTCCAAGACAGATTTATTAAAACTTTGAATCTGGTTTATTCTTTTTTTTCCCTCCAGTATCCGATACAGCATTTTCTGCTGATATCGACCCGACAGCCATAACTACGGTTATGCCATCTCAGTAACAATAACGGTAACATACTGGTCAACTCAATATCACATGAGCAAAGCAGTTAGTTGTCAAAGTAAAAAGCAGAGTGTGAAAAGGTGGGGGTTGCCCTTCAATTCCTAATGCCACCATAGCTCCCTAATAGTTCAATTAACTAAGAAACTCCTCAAGCGCTATTTAATTTTGATTGACGTTTGATTCCCCGCAATGACACTATCATGTTACTATCCACAGTCAAGCGTGGACAGCATAGCTTACTTTACAAGGTCAAAAAGGTCATGTATTAGGCCACACAGTGTTACAGTGACCTGCGCTATGACAGTACATAAAAGGCAGATTGGAAAAAAAATGAGGAATCAGCTTTGTATGTTGTGAAGGACGCCAGCGAACTCCATCACAAGTTTAAGCCACAATAATCATATTAAAAAGGCTAATGTGATGCTTCAGACAGGTTGGAATTGGTCATAAATCAACATTTTCGAGAGAAACGGGATCAGGGATCCTTCAATACTTTGAGGAATATTCAGACACTGTGTTTAAAATCGCAATTTGTGTGTTGACGACTTAGAAAAATGATTTCAATGGTAACACACTCCTCGAAGGCTATTGCGCTAAAATACTAATCCAAGACCAAGTGTCATCAAATAACATATAACATAATGCCTAATATAAAATGGATTCAACTCTCGAAGGTGGGTCCGTCCTTAAGCTCTAGAGTCTGCTTAAAACCAAGGCATCCTTCCTAGATGAACTGAATAACTACATGGAAAGAGGAAACCACATGATTCATTTTAAGGCAGTTGTTGTAACTAAGCTTTTGCCCTTGACCACTGAAGTCGACAGCACCATGAAAATATAAAAAAAGAAAACCAGACCCTGTCTAATTCTGTTATAATGTACTAAAGGTTTCTGCATTAATGGAATTAACCAACCTACATTAGGGGTGCACCAATATTGGGATTCTGCGTCGATATTCAGCATTTGTCATGTACATATCTACTTCTGTCAATACTTAAAACATTCATAAATCCATAACCTAAAAAACACCATATAATTACTACTTATGCGCAATATGAAGTAATTACACTGATTATCATAGTACCACGCAGAGAACTTGAGAAGGCTTGCACATTAACAAAAGTTAAGCTTTAATGAACAGCACAGTTCAACAGAGTGGTTAAACAGATACTATGAACGTATCAGACCGTCTCTGCTGCAAGCTTTGCTGGGTTGAGCAAAAGAAGTTCAACATCTGTAAAAACCAAACCAAAAACAAAATGCAGACCACAAACCATGTGGCTCCAAAATGCCTTTTTGATTCGACATGGACGTTTAACCGAGGCCAAATGAAAGCACCCCTAAAACAAACAAAAATTAAAGGGGAACTCCGCTGATTTTTCAAAATCTCTGCATAACTTAATGGTTAAGACGTAAGCTTAGTCATTCAAAGTGGTTTGGTGTGAAACACTTCATTCTAGAGAATGACTTCTGCTGAGTGGTGGTGATAGGAACAAGACGCCCACCTCTAAAAGCTCCCTCACAGAAAGTTATGACATGAAATGGGTACGAATGCTCATGTCTGAGACATGTTTTACAAGGGATAAAGTTTTGGCCCAACACGTATTTAAATTAATTTATCCTAATCTATTCATGGTGGAGGGATACATGACGGGTGTTCTAGGGCAAAACAGTCCCGAAAGAAAACCAATTTTTCCCACACTTACCACGAGTTTACTATCATCAACGTTACATATTAAACTCAGAAGACACGTGTAGGTTCACTGGTGGTTTTGGGCCGTAAATAAAATGGCCATATTAGTGTTGTGGCCATGGTGACCCCTGGTTCCCATCACCACCACTGTAAGAAAATCTGAGTCTTATGTCTCTCTACAATGAACCGTTTCACATCAAACCGCCTTGAATGACTGTTTGCATCTCAACCACTGAATTAATGCAGACATTTTGAAAAATAGGTGGAATTCACTTTTAAGCACAACTATTACCAACATGAGAGAAGCTCGCTTGGTTAGGGCTCTCAGTGGCACATCTACTTGCTGCATCAACAAACAAGCCTACAAAACACGTTTAGCTAGAACCAAGAGCAATAAGGAAGGTCGAACTTGCCTGTTTCGAACCCGTTCTCTCTCGACGCAGAGCCTTAAAGTTGTTACAAACGATGACACTGACTGAACCTTCGCCATGCAGAGAAGAAAAACGGAGAGGAGAAATTATTCTAGCCCGTTTACAGGCGCGCATGGAGGGTTAAACGCCGTAATTCCCCTTCTGCAACCTGCTAGCTATCTAGCCCAGACTTACCAAGACCGAAAGCCAACTAACCAGCTAGCGCTAGCGACATTATTTGGCAGCCTAACGTTAGCGAAGTAGCTAGCTTAGCTTAGCTGCGCTCTACCGTGAGCTAATGCTAACGTTTAGCTCGCTGGTGTACTGAGGGATAACGCGCGTCCAAACACACTGCGACACAAAACGCAGCCGTTACTTCAGATACTGGAAACTCCGCGTTTGGCCGCAATAGCACAATATTTGGAAAATGTACCGCTGTTCAAAGAAACACATCTCGCTGGCTCGGCTAGCTTCACATTTCACCTTTGCTTTCCAAACCGAGTCGCCATCTTTAGCCAGCTAAGCTAACAGAGCCTCGTAACTTCAGAGGTAGATCCGCCGCTACGGACGAGGCTGAAGTTACCTTCCTATTCGCCAGCTTCATGTTCGAATTCGCCCGTTCCACCTTAAATGCTGCAGCAATTACATTCTGGCGCCTGAGGCCGGAACGTAACTGCTGCACCATTTAAGGTGGAACGGGAAAATTGGAACAAGAAGCTGGCGAATAAGCTCCGTTCGCTACGGCAACGTTGTTCAAAACCCGGGCTACAAACCTATTTTTCTCAAAAGCCACTTGCCAGAAAACATCAGAAAAAAATAATTTAACTCACCTCATGTCTGTATAAATCCCAGGGACACGTATAAAAGGCGAACTTATATGAATAAATCGTGATTTCTGTTCCGCCGCTGACGGACTGCGCGAGTGTTGCAGACACGGAGCTGCTGCACATCAACCTCTATGGTACTATTTGTCCTAGCAGCACTAACACAACTAAAGGAGCTGTACATTTACTTTAGGCTTTCCCCCACACCGAAGCAACTGATTTACACGCCTCCCCAACCTTAATTGCTTTCTACTCTGCGCTTTTACGAGCACTCGTACTTTCTACTCGACCCTGGACCGTCGGAGTGCAATTTGTTTGGTGTGTACCAGCTAGGACCAACGCGGTGTGACGTGAAAAGTTTCCCCACAGGCGGCCCTATCGCTCCTACAAACCTTCCCCACCCAAACCTTTAAAGTATTCCCTTCCCAAACGCGCAGCTAATAGACGAGCACGCACGATTCAGACTTAACCAAGCCCGTTTCTTAAGAGCTCTGACATTAGAGGATTAAAAGCGCACTCCGTGGAAAACGCCCCACATAAACATCTGTATATGGAACCCCTAAGGTGACAGGGTGGTTATTAATAATAAGGCGTGGGTACGAATTAATATATTGAGGCCACAAGTTACTATATTGAGGCCACCAATTAATGCATTGCGACCACAAATTACTATATTGAGACCACGAATTACTAAATGGGGCCACAAATAAATATATTGAGGCCACAAATTACTATCCTGAGGCCACACATTAATATATTGAGGCCACGAATAACTAAATGGTGCCACAAATTACTACATTGAGGCCACAAATTAATATCTTGAGGCCACGAATTACTAAATGGGGCCAAAAATAAATATATCGAGGCCACCAACTAATACATTGAAGCTACAAATTACTATACTGAGGCCACACATTAATAAATTGAGGCCACAAATTACTAAATGGGGCCATAAATTACTAAGTTGAGGCCACACATTAACATATTGAGGCCAATAATTACTGTATTGAAGCCAATAATTACTGTATTGAAGCCACAAATTAATATCTTGGGGCCACAAATCACAATATTGAGGCCACAAATTAATAAATTGAGGCCACAAATTACATATTGAGTCCACAAGTTCATATATTGAGGCCAGGAATCAATATATTGATGCCACAAATTAAGACATAAAAGCCACAAATTATGAATATGTTGAGGCCATGAGTTGTGAGAAACTTAAATCGTCTCCTCAATATATTAATTCGTGTCCACGCCTAATAAAAAAATAAATAAACACCATGCAATCTTATGGGCTCCGTATCTTTATTATTTGACACGAGGTGTTCTTTTATTGAGACAAACCAGCCCCTCAGTGCAGGTGCGTGATGTTAATGCCCTTTATTTGATTATATAAGCTGAGCTTATTTGCGCATTTTTTTCACTTTCAGTTTCAGAACCCGCCATGCAAATACAGTGGGAACCTTTTTTGTAACAGGGCGTTGTTCCGCCCGGATTATTTTTCGAAGCGGTAGACATGCTTGTTTTGGTCTGTGTGGCTTTTTGTTGCCTTGGTTACTTTATTTCTGTAAAATTTTTATACAGTCGACTCAAACGGAGTGGCGTTTTTCGTCCTCTGCGCAGTGACCGAGTTCCAGGCTTTCTCTCGGCGAGCTCTCAGAGTTCGGAGGGAGGAAACCCGCCCGCTGTGGATGCTGTTCGGGCGCTTCTTGTAACCGCGCATCCCGACGACGAGTGCATGTTTTTCGCACCTTCAGTCTTAAAACTCGTTGAGTCAAACGCGTCCGTTCATTTGCTATGCCTGTCATCAGGTACGTCTTCATCTGCTCGATAATTTCACCAAAAACTGCATTACGTTTCTAAGCATTTCCATTTCAAGTCACTGTACTACCGTTACTGTACTGCCTACTGAGGTTCCCATAACAACAGACCAACGTCTAAATCCTTACTCTGTTATTAGGCCTGGGCGACACTGCTAAAATTCAACATCACATTTTCCAAATATATCATCGAAATATATCACGGCTTAAGATTATATTTAAGTCAGGGGAACTCCATCGATTTAAAAAAAAAAAAAAGTGGTTGAGATGTAAACAAAGTCATTCAGAGTGGTTTGGTGTGAAATGCTCTGTTTTACAGTCAGGATTGTTCACAGTGGTGGTGATAGGAACCAGACGTCTGAAGATTTTAACGTCTCTGAAAGTTCCCTCAGAAAGTTTTTACGTGAAAATGGTTAGATATATGCTGCCTGATGTCTGACACATTGTTTTATGATAAAGTTTTGGAGTAGAATATATTTTGATCCATTTACTTTAAATAATTTTTGGCGGAGCGATACTCGCAAGGTGTTGCAAGGCAAAATAGAAAAGAAAACTTATTTCTTCATATTTGTGACTGTTTTACTATAATCACCATTGCATATAAAAGCTCAAAGTCACATGTAGGTTCACTGATGGTTTTGGATAGTAAATAAAATGGATTAAATGTGTTGTGTAGGCATTGTGACCCCTGGTTCCCATCACCACCACTGTAAACAAAGAATCTGTAAGTTTCTCTACAAACAACCATTTCACACCAATCCACTCTGAGTGGCCCTTTTTTGTAATTTTCATTTAAAAATTACCTTAAAGACCAAAACTGTGTCTCAAAGTAATTGTTAAACAGTGTCTTAGGCATCAGGCAACACTTTTATAACCTTTTCATGTAATAGCTTGTTGTATAACTATTAGAGGCATTATTTGGGACATCAGGGTGTCTGGATCCTACCACCGCCACTGTGAACAATTCTGACTCTACATTTTTCTAGAATGAAGAACTTCACATTAAACTACTATGAATGACTTTGTTTATATCTTAATGATTCAGTTATGCAGAAATTTCAATGGAATCGGAGAAATTCCTCTTTAAAATGACACCAAAGGGAACCTGAAGCACCCAACAAATTACATATATTGCAGTTAACCACCAGGTCCTGCGTGTAATGAGTAAAATGCACAATTATTACTTATTTTATTGTTAATATATCATAAATACATTACTCATTTTCTATCAAATACTTGCTAAAACTGAAAAGCAATATTACAATGTATCAGTATACCAGTATAGATGATATATATAGGCCCATACATTTTCTCTCTAAATTAAAGTCAGCATATCTGGGGTGGATCTAACTCGGAAATGACTTGTGTTATATTTAGGAAATTTCTACAACCAAGGTGCCCAGAGGCGACAGGAGCTCCTTGACAGCTGTGCGGTTTTGGGAATTCCAGCCAACCAGGTCACCATTATCGAGAACAAGTAAGAACAGCAGAACATGTTTCTGTCTACGAATCACTGACTGCAAGTACAAACAGTAGCCTGACCGATACATTTCGGTCAGATGTTAGAAATAGAAAACAGCAGCAGCTCGGTGTCAGGGCTCTTTACCAAACGGCTACAAGTTAAAACATATGTCAATATCTGTTCCACCTTCAAATAAGCTTCATATGTTCGTGAGCATGTGAATATAAATGTGGACAAAAGTTAATGTGAATTGCAGTTAGCATAGGGCTAACATACTACTAGAGTCCCAGAGGGATGTTAGTACAAATCAGCATTATCACACTGTTTTTTTCTTTATAAACTATGTCCCAAACAGAAGGCCTAGCTATAATAGACACAGTTCACCATTGCTTTATATTACCATGACAATTTCAGTGAAAAATATTCTTTTAAATATCTGTTCAAAACATTGTGTTTAATTAGTTTATAGCCCAATCTTAGTTGATGGCTGTGTTCAAAATAGCATTCTGCATACTTTATACTGCATCAGTATATTCTGTATACTGCATGCTACTCCTTGTAGTATTATACTGTACAGTATCCAGTAGACAACAAAAGCCATGTGCCGTTCTACAGGGAAGGGGTGTGACTAGCCAGCCAGCATGAGAGGACGCGCCAATCAGACCATCTCAAGACCCGCCTCTTGTTCCTTAGCCCCCAGTTGCTGCTTAGTCACCGTTGCTAGCTGCTTTTCAGCCTGCACTTTTGTACTTTGGTCATGAGACAGACCCCATACTATGAAGGAGGACAGGATGTTGTTTTCTGCCTCCAAAACTAGAAATGAACTTTGAAAAATGTCTTTGGACTGATCTGTGTGATAAACCTGTGTGGATTCCAAACGCACCTGTTTTTTTCCATTTGCTAAAAGTTCAGTCATTTTATTTCCATCACATTCATAATTGGAAATATGAGCTAATTTAACTGGATGATAAGCAGTGTGACCTGAAAGGCCAATACTGTGCGGGTTGTTCGGCAAAGACCAGCTTTAGTAAGATACTGTTTAAACCATGTTATCTACGCAGTAAGTTAACTTTGTTAAATAGATAAAGTGAGCACCTCAAGACTAGCACAGAAAACTAGTGTGGCTTCAGTGTTGCACTGAGTGCAGCAGCATTTTGACAGTTTTTTTTTTTTTCATTTTGCCGTTATTTATTTTTGGAAAGGCTGAACTCAGGGCTATTAAAAGTATCCAGGCGGTTACGTCAGTGTTAACGTCCTCCTGAAATGACTGCGTTACATTTTAGGATGCAGTAAATTATGCAGAAAGCTCTGGCCGCGTACTGGAATATTTGGCCAGAGCAATACGGCAGTTTGTAGTGGGATATTTTGAACACAGCCAAAAAAATGAATACAAGAAACCTAAACTGATCTTATAAGGAACATCATCCTTCCAGCCAATTTTGCATACTGACTACATTCCTTCTTTTGCAAATATACATTTACAGTTTAAGGTTTCCATACTGTATATAACTAACTTACTGTATGCAATATAAAAAGAAAAATTCCATTTTGCATAAAATGAAATATTCTAATTAGGTGCACCTTTATTTGGTACTACTATTTTCAGCACACATGGAATATTACACATTGTATCTATTGCAAACTGGCGTTCGGGACATTACGTATATGTATCTTAATACAATACGGTAATAATTTCATAAACTGTGATAAAAAAAGTTTAGTAATTACCATAATATTACCTATTTATATTGGCACATGCCTAATTCTGAGTAACCTTCTTATTGCCAGCTCACTAATGTATCCAAGAGTGAATAACAGGGAGCACTAAAAGCATTTGGGATTCAGCATGTAGTAAAGAGCACATGGGCCTCAAAACTGTCCCATAAGGCTAATCAAGCGCCTCTTCATCCGTCAGCCTTCGACACTCACAATACAAGCAGATCTGCTCCTAGCAGGGGCGTTCCTTCTGTTCTTCGGTGTGCTGAAAATAAACAGTCAGACCCAGCATGCCCCACCCCTAAGGCCTCAACCCCAGCAAGCGCTGCCATTAAGGGCGTGCCATGCTCGGCGTGAGCCCCTCCTCTTCTCCCCCGGCTACTGAGAGAGCAAACAGTGGTCAGGCTACAAATCAAGCCTGTCCATTCTCTCCACAACAGGGCTGCAGTCCAACTCGGCTGATGTATGGGGCCCTTCTGTCACTGGAACGATAAACGGCCAGCGGCCTGGATGCACAAAGCATCTCCGGGTAGAAGTAGTGTTTCTGCATCAGCTTTATGACATAACAAGTAGGGGTGCATGTTCAGAATCAATTCATATTTGCTTCTAACACGCAATTGGAAATTTACTTGGTCTTTTGGGTTTTTTTTAATCCAATTTTATGATGTAAATAATGTGAATGAGCCTACTGTATTTGACTGCTGTTGCTTTTAAGGATGGGTATCAAATTTCAATACTTTATGGTACTGACCAAGTTACAGCACTACCAGGTATCACCAAATTCCATGTCATTGCCTAAGCAGTCTGTCAGTGCTTATTCCAAAGTCTAGATGGTGACTGGCTATCTAACTTATTCCACATGCATGTTATTAACCGCGTTGCTTGATTAGTTTGCGATCCGCTGCGGTGAGTAAATATACTCATTTCAAGCACCTTATGCTCATTTGTGGTTTAGGCCACACCCTCTTCTAGTTTGCAATTCAAAAGAAGGTGTTGTTCAGGAGTCTGTATCGAAGTCTAGGTATTGGTATTGATAGTGCATGTAACTTCAGTGCATGTGCTTGACCTACCCACCAGAATGTGTTTGTATCAGTGTGTTTATTCAAAGGGGAATTCCAACAGAATTTCAGAATGTCTACATAAATTAATGGCTATAATGTAAACAAAGTCATTCGGAGTGGTTTGATGTGAAAATCTCTGTTTTAGAGAAACATAAAGAGTCAGAATTGTTCTCAGCAGTAATGAAAGGGACCAGACACCTGAAGGATTAAAGGGAAATAAGTGAAATTTTTTTTAAAAGTTTAATAAAATTCAAAGATATAGAGAAAATGGGACTCCTAACAACCACGCAAGACCTTGTAGACCACCAAAACTGTCCCCATCAGATAAACAGTACTTAAAGCTTTCATCTTTGAGAGAGAGGAGAAAATCAAGCTGCTTCAGATCTGAAAAAATCAAATCTGTCCATCCTTTCAGAGTGATATGGCTGTGAAAGCATGTGTAGCTCCCAAGAAGTCATTACTTCAGAACAATGGACTGGCCACCCCAGAGTCCAGAGCTCATCACTGAATGTGTCTTGGATTACTTGGATTGTGTAGCAGGAAATTCAACCAACTTCTAAGACTGAACTTTAGAGGTGTGGAAAAATATCAATAATAGAGTCAAAGCTGTAATAAAATCAAAGAGTGGACAGACTAAATACTAAAATATTTGATATTATATTTAGTTGTTGAGATTTCTGTGTATTTCTTTGTAGATTTTCTATTTTCTATTTTCACTGAAAAATAAATGACATATTTAGTGGCTATTTTGACTGGAAATTTAATAAATGCAGGGTGGTCTCTGACTTTTGCACTGTACTGTCAAATCAGTCAAGTCAAAGTTTATTTACATGGTGCTTTTTACAACAGGCACAAAACAGCTATACAGAAAAATCCGGGACCAAAGCCCCCAAAAACAAGCCAATTGTGACAGTGGCAAGGAAAAACAAGAGCAAGAGGAAGAAACCTTGAGAGGAACCAAGACTTAAAAGGGGAACCCATCCTCCTCAGGTCGACACCGGATAGCAAACAATAACAGCAGAGAATGAGATTTTATCATTAGTATAAGGTATTGAAAAAGGGAAAATACGGAAAAAGGGGAAACTGTAGACTAATTGAATGTTATCAATTCATCATGACAGCCCTAGTTATTTGTAAGTAAAGGCCAGGCTCAGGAGCACCACGGCCAGCCCTGAGAAAAGATCACTAGGCGTAGTGTTATCTGAACAAACACTTTTGCCAGCATAACTGATTGCCCTATGACCTACTGCGGTTAAATGTGTTTTTGCTCACGAGTAGTGTGCCGTCCACAATGTTTTCGTGGTCCTAATTTTAAGTTTTCCCTCTCCTACATGCTGTGTTCGCTGGCACTGTGTTATTTTTTTCCTGAGCCATCATTTGTCTTTCCTCATTCACTATAATCTCACTGAACCAGAAATTATACCCTAGAGTCTCTCCGACCTTCGGAACACCAGGCTAGTCACAGCTTCTTCCTTAGCCCGCCCGTGCTGAAAGTCTCAGGCAGGAACGAGCGGACAAATCCTCGTTCATGCAAACGGATGGGAACAGAGATGATGTCATGCTTTGGCCATGTCTCCGAAGTTGAGAGGCTGAAACAGAGGTCCACATCACCAGCTGTGGGTTTAAAGAGATACTGCAGGTTTAATGGAGAAAGCCAGTCTTGCATGCATCAGGCTTTGCAGAGGAAGAGCGCTGACATTTTGGGGTTTCACATTCACCTTTAACCCTTGTGGGCCCTCCATGGTTGTATATGCCTTAACACATTACATTATTCATTATTTCTCATTAGGAGCTCATTGAAGCAAGTAAGGGAGTCTCATTAAAACAAGGGGAGAAGTTCTTGGAGAAATTTGGTTGAAAGTGAAGAGTCTAAACTTTCAGTCCATTCCACATGTGTACATAAGTGGAAAAATTAACTCAAAGTTCCCTACCAAAATGGTGGCAGCGCAGCGTCATCGGAATACTATCAACTGGGGGACTTCCTTTAAACATTGGCGACAGATATAGTGGCTAAACTGATACACAAGGCTTAAACACAGCTGTAAGAATGTTGCATCACAAGTGTGCACAGTTCTGTACACAGTTTATGATCCAAAAGTTAAAGCAGTTGCAGAACACTGTTGATTGTTTTATATATAGTAATTCCTCGTAGATGTTGTGATGTTGCTATGAAGTTGCTATGGTATTCCAGCTTGTTGTGGCATTGCTCAGTGGTTGTTAGTTGGTTGCAAGGGTGTT